CCAAGGAGGAAGAATTTATTAAGTTCCCTTCACCAGTCAGCCAGTCCTGTGGAGTCATGAATACACCCCCACCCTACCCCACCCTTGTCCTCTCCGCCTGGTACTGTGAATAAAAGGGCCTTCATAATGTATGAAGTCTGTACAAATATTGGAAACGTCCAAAATATGTCCTCTCATTAACAGTGATGAGTGAAAGCCGGAGTATTGGCATTTGTCAGATATACTCAGAGTGTAAAGGCACTGTTGTACAAGGCCTCTGCTGTGTCGGGTGATGTAGAGACATCACTCTCTTGCTATCCTCTCAAAAGCTGGAGAAAATGTGTCTTATTAGTTCACACAAGGTGGCGAAATTCTGTGCTACACCGCTGACTAATGTACAAAGCTGAGAAAGTGCAGGGCTGATGGTTTGCTGGGCCTCTGTTAGTGACGTGTGAGTGGAGAGGGTGCGGAGAGGGGACATCAGGCTGGTAAAAGTGCGCAGCTGTTGGAAGCAGCTATGAGGCCAGGCGTTTTTTATAAACCCACCCCTGTGCTCATCTCCTTGGTAAGTGCTTTATAGGCAGATTGACATGGTAAAGAGATGAGGGGATGCAGCTTTTCCCCAGACACGTGAAGAATGTTCCTGTAATATTTCTGTAAAAAAAAAAAAACACACACACACACACACAAAAAACAATGTCCCTATAACTTTTTTTTGATACTCATTTTAAAAGCACATTCAACATCCAACCACAATATTGTGTGAGTTAGAGAAGAAAAGTTAGAAGCATGCACATATTGGGGCTGAAACATGTTTAATAAAGGACGGTGCATAAAAAGACCTTATTGCCTTTGCTTTGTCCTGAGGAAGAAGTGAAAGAAGGCTATGCTTGGCTTCAAAGCTGCATTTCCATAATTGCCCTGTAACTCGGGCCTGTCTGAGGGATCTGAAGGGGGCTGAGAAAAGCACAATCTTTCAGCTGGGTGAACGGCAAAAGCCCCAACGCCTCTCCCTCTGGCCTGTCGGCCTGTCGCCCCCTTCCCCACTTGTTGCCTTTCGGATTTAGTGAAAGAATTCCTCTCTCTAACCTTCATCAACAAAAGGCATGAAATCAGTGCCCTCCCTCTCTCCCACTCCGGCCCCAGAGAATGTCACTCCTTCTGGGCCTTTTGTCCTTTGCTCAGCCCAGGGAAACACAACAACCCCTCTCTCCCTGCTCCCTGGCTATTCTTTAACATGTTGTTGCTGCACTTTCACTCACATTCTCAATAATGAATGTGCCATAAAACATGCAGGGGACACAGAAGTCACATATCTTTGGCAGGGGTAAAATCAAGCTTTCCACCCTCCCTTTTTTCAGCTCTAGAGTGCGACGGCTGTAACAAGTTGCCGTGGAGTGCCGTGGCCTGTAAGCCTGTGTATGAAGGTATGTGGTGTGTGGGACATGTGTTCCCGAGAACAGATCCCTGCTCCTCCTGTGGTCAGCTAACACACAGGCCGAGAGCTTGCAAAAGGGCAGCCCCTCTCTTGGCCCGGGCAAGCGCTGGGTGGGGGCGCGGTTGACAGTGGCTCATAAAAGGATTAGTCCACCGCACAAAGACAGTGGGCCGCTTCTAAGCCTGACTAGGTCCACAAAGGAGATGACATTTGTCTGTCTCGGTGGCAGGAGGGGGTGTGTCAGAACCGTCCCCAGCCTGGGGGTAGGAGGAGGAGGAGGTGGCACTGGTGGTGGGGCTACAATGACAGAAGGGGTGGATGAGGTGAAAACACAAGACTGACCCCCTTTATTTGCAGCGGCCTCCTCTTTCACAGGGCACCTCTGGCCCTTTCCAATGGGCTGCTCTAGTGTTTATTTACTCCATGGTTTCTCCCCATTCACACATGAACCTCTGATGGCTCCATTGGCCGGACCCTTTCAGCCGCCCGGTACTGCCGTCCACCTTCTCCCAGATCAATGAACGCTTCGAAAGACAGATTAGATTTCCTTTTAATGATTCCATCTTTCTCAGATTTTTCCCCTTCTAAATGGCTGTTTAACAGCACATTACTTTTTTTCACCCATGTAGCTGTATTTAGCCCTGTCTGAGAGTTGAGGGCGAAAGGGAGCAGCAGTCAACAGCACTCAGGACAACATAAGCAATTTGATTAGATGGGAAATCAAGTACAATTAATTTGCACTATGTCAAAAGCTTTCCCACACTCTAAATACCGCAGAACTATCTATTAAATCGTAAATAATTACAAGACTGTGAGTACAATTGAGAATCTGTTGCTTTGTAATGTGAATCTGAATCTGAAAAATCCATGATGTCACATTTAGATTATTTTTCAGCTGTTTCAAGCCTGTTAAGTATCCTCTTAATAGTCTTAATCTTAACTTTTCTTACCTTCTTGTGTTGAGTAGATTACCCTTTGCTTTTTTTGCAGTTGAGTAGTACTACAGGGCTACAGTGTGCCCGGGAGACCCTCAGCATTTAACACAGCATGGACCTCAGAAATAAGAAGAGGAGTCAATGTTGATTATTGCTCATTAGCCAGGAGAACATCCACTTAACGTGCAGGGGAAACCAGTGACACACCATGCCCCACTGGAAATGGTCCCTGTGTATCTCAGAGCAAAATGTTAGCTAATGCATTCCATTTGCTCTTTGTAACTGGGAGCAGGTTGGACACGTATGGCGACATAAGCAGGCATGATTACTTTGTTTCTGCCGAGGCTTTTTAATCCCTAATTTCATGCACTGATCATGAGGAGAGGCCCTGAGCTCCAGACACAATCACTGGCCCTTCAGTAGCATTTCAGCTGAATCCTCACCATCAAGAGGTGACTCGTTCTGGGCCCCTCAGGAGCAAACAGCCTGTGAACAGTGAGGAAATAAGCATCGTTATTTATGATAAAGTTCACTGCAGCCCGCCGTTTATTTATAGTTTTTAAAGCTGACATAAATCTTTATAACGTTAATTTATAACACATGCCATAAGTGCCGTCAAACCAGTTATTTTTACATTTCTATAAATGTACAATTACATAATTGATTGAAAGACATTAATAATAATAATAATATTACCTTGCAACATTTGATATAAACACAGTAATTTCCTTTGTATCGTATAATTATGAATCATCTATGTCAGTGTAATGCTGGTCATTACAACCTTGTGTTGTATAATGATGAATAAATTCCCTTGATTCCTTTAACAAAAGGAAGTGGACAAGAATCTACAAAAAGAAAAAAAACTATTACATCAATCAGCAGGCTGATGCCACTTATAAATATGCATACAACGGTTAGATGGGGCTCTCAAAGAAGATAATTGATTAGACAGGAAGGCAACATGGTGAGAGCAGCTCCAAAAAAGGCTCCGGAGTCCGTCCCTCGGCCGAGTTGGGGTTTGTTTAAACCATATCCTAAACCTAGAGAGGATACGACTCGAGCGAATCCGCGCTTTTCATCTGCCTTTGCTGCCCTGAACGGCAGGCATTAGGATGTTGTCCTAGCTGACCATCTGAGTCTAGTCGAGGAGTGTGTGACAGCCTGTGGGTCTCTGCTTGTGCGTTTTACAAATATGACTGTAATCATAAATCCAAGTCCTTTAAAACTCTGAAAAAAAATAAAAATCTGAAAGTAATAAAAGAGTGATAATAGCAAAGAAAGGGGATGCTTTTCGTTTAGAGATGGGTGCGTTAGGAAATTGAAGTTTGTCTCCCAAAATACATTTTTAAATGTTTTACATATTATGCCTAATATTGTTTTTTTTTCTGCTGTTAAATAAGATGGATAAAAAATATGAATTTGCATTACTAAGACTGTCATGTCTTCTATGAGTCTTTTAAAAGGCTGGGGATATTTTTTATAATCTCGGAGAAATTTGAATAATGAGAATATTGACGGCATTTTTCTTTGCTGATTTTTTCTTCTGTCTTCCCTTTTTATCTTTATTTATTTATTTATTTATTTTTTTATTTAATTTACCTGATTTCAAAACAGGAAGTGGAGCGACTGATGCGCTTTGAAGGATAACTGAGAAGTCCTGTAATGCTCAGGTTAAGCATGGCAGCCAGGAAAGATTTCTTTTAAATACTTCAGCCATTGGCGAGTATAAAAAAAGATACATTTATCCCTAATTATTATAGTTGCTTTATTGTGCCTAAATAGTTGATATTAAATATGAAATTATGTCTACTCCGCAAAGGTTTGTTGCTTGTGCTCCACTGAAAATGTCTGTCTACTTTCTTAAATATTCTCTGAACGCCTGGGCCGAAAGTTGAAATTTGACTTCTCTCTCTCTCCCTCTCTCTCTCTTCTCTCTCTCTTTTTTTTTTTTTTTTTTAATGTGCTTGCTTTTTGAAGCATTAAAAACAAGCCTGCTGATTCAGTATGTACCGCATGTGTACATCATGAAACCACAACACTGAAGCCTGAAAACACATTTAAAAGATATGACACTGTGACAGATTTATAAGAGCAAAATATTGCTATCGAATTTTATATCACAACTGGATAAATTAGGAATGGGCCAAAAAAAAGAAAAAGAAGAAAAAAAAAAACCTGAGACCACATGAGCAGAATGTGTGAGGCTGTTCACCAGAACATGGCCGACTGCAAGTGACTGTAGAGGGAGCTCCAACACTAAGTTTACATAAACTTCCTCTGATAAGGGCTCACACATGCAAATGATCACATCACGGGCAAACAAAATAAATGATGTTATTATTAGTTATACAGCGACGATATATTACAATTATACCAAAGAGCGGTGTTAGTGGAGGGAAATGTATGATATATGTGAGGAGCAAAAGCATTACAAATTGAGCATGATGAGATCTGGGAGTTGCAGTGCAAAGCCAAAATCCATCTCTAGGATCAGCTGGACTACTCTTTCTGAGTACCACCGATCATCTAACACTCATTTATTACCTAAAATATCTTTATGAACCATACAATTTCAGACGAAAATTAATGAGAGAATTATTTATTTTAATGCGACCGCTACGCCTCTATAAAGGATAATCCCACAACATTAATATCCAAATGTATGCCGCAATACTGGCTAATTAGCCTTAAGTCCCTCCACTACAAAAAATGTGATAAATCCCTCTCGAATATTTACTTATCACTACCACAGAGGATGAAGTCTGTGCCTCAGGCTGTCCACTAACACGCAGACACGCAAACCAAAGCAATGCAATTCAAGCTGCACTGCACAATAACAGCCACCATCAAAAACAGCTGTCAAAATAGCTTGTCCAAAAACCAACAATTTCTTAAAGTTGCAGCAGTTCATTTATTAGCCAAAATATAGACTTTCTTGTACAATTTGGTTCACAAGTATGTACATATTCTTAACTTTATATACAAAACATTTGAACATCAAATCCTCACAGAACTTACAAAAAGAAAAAAAACTCACAGACTACAGGTTCATACATTATTACATTAGCAGTTTTACACAGGACATGCTTACAATGTAAGTATACAGAGATGTATTATTCTTATTTTACATTCCATATTCAAATTAAAAGAAAAAGAAAAGAGAGGATGGGTGAGAGGTTATGGAAGGAGCCGAAAGAACCACCGCTGCTTAGTTGGTTCTGAGGCCTGAAATACACAGGGGTAAAAGAAAATAAAATGTAGTGATCCAAAAAAACAAAACGAAAAAACAAAACAAAAAAACACTAATAATAGCCTCACGAAGAGCTAAAACACAAAGTGATATAAAAGTGACAATTGCCTTTCAAAAACGAGCCTGTAGTGAATTTGCATTGAGCTCATTTGCATGACCAAACAAGTAAGTGTAACATAGGCCTTGACGAAATAACACAAGCGCACACACAGGGATAAAACAAATCTTAGAATAAAAGCTAATTTGGGTAAATATGGCGTTTAAAAAAGAAAATGTGATATGGCATCAAAAAGAAAATTCCCAGATGTCATTAACTGACAGCCTCACTTTCTTTGAACTGTGTGGAAAGCTGTTTTTAAACAACTTTTTTTTTCTCTGCATCCAAGGCACTAGATCTCTCTGAAATTGTGGCAATGGAAATTAAAATGATTTAATTAAACTGTCTGTAATCGGAGCCCATCCTGGCTTTCAGTGAATTTAGTGTTGAAAAACTAGTTGGTTTTAATGGGTTGTGGGATTTATGTAAACCACTGAATACAAGCACGTGGGCCTTAATATCACATGGATGTAACAATACCAAATAAAGGAAGGAAAGGGAGGGGGGCACAAAAGTAGGAACAAGTTTTCACCCAATTCAACATTAGACTTTTTTCTTAAATGCTTTCTGACGAGGTTTTTCGTTTGGGGAAACATTTTTCAAAGCAGTTACACACACACGCACACATCACACACACTGTATTCTGTAAGATATAACATTGTAACACTGTTCATCTGTGTGGCCTAGAGAGAAAGAGAAAAACAATCCATGAACAGGCAAAGAAGGCGAAAGGGGGTCTAAAGTAATAGAAATGAATGACGGGAAATGGACTAGTGTCTTTGTTTTTGTAGTTATTTATACATGCGGGTCTCAGTGTCGGGGACATGTACCTGTGACTGGAGTCTCTGAACTATGACTCTTGTCCTCCGTTTGCCTGCTGCTGTAGAGGGCCAGGCCGGTGGCGGTGGCCTGGTTTGCCAGTCCCAGGTAATGATTTGAGTTCAGTAAAGCCAGCTGATGCGCCGAGAAGGCTCGGTTCGTCCAGTTCTGGATTTTCCCAACGGGACAAGAAGAGATGAGTCTGTGAGGGGCGATTATGGTCTGGGCGGCCGGCCCTGCGGAGTTGCTGCCGTTCATTTGTGGCGATTTACGGGGATTGTCAGGGGCCGTGGCTGTCTCTGCCAAAGACCAGATCTTTGGCTTTTGGGCTGGGGCAGGATTGTTTTCTGAGGGCGGCGAGCTAACGGACACTGGGTTCAGTTTGAGCTGCTCTCCGTTTGGTTGGGACGCTTTGGTGTCCAAAGAAGCGTGATGGTGGTGGTGATGGTGGTGGCTGTGGAAGTGCTCTCCTCCTCTCTCCACGTCTTTGCCCTCTTTCCCCACAGCCTTTAGAAACCTCTGGTCGGGCCCTTGTAAATCCTCATAGCCGTCAGAAATTTCAGAGTCACTCCTCCCGTCTAGTTTAATATCTGAATGCAGGTCGTCCTGGTCGTCCAAGTCGTCCTTGTTCTCAATATTTTCCGTGTCGATGTTCTCCAAGTCGATCTCCTCCTCGTCCTCCCTCTTGTCCCCCTCCTCCCCCTCGTGATCGCTGGAGTAAACATTCCCCTCTTCGTCGGTGCGGTTCCGGGGGGCCCAGGTCATCTTGTTCTCCTTCTTTAGCCTCCTCCTGGCGTTGGCGAACCAGGTAGACACCTGGGTGAGGGTCATTTTGGTGATGATGGCCAGCATGATCTTCTCGCCCTTGGTGGGGTAGGGGTTCTTGCGGTGCTCACTGAGCCAGGCCTTCAGGGTGCTGGTGCTCTCCCTGGTGGCGTTTTTGGGTCTGGACGGGTCACCGAACTGATATTGGCCATATGGGTAAAAAGCAGGGTGATGGTGGGCAAACCCTGGGTGCTGGACACCGGGACTGTCTTTCAGTTCATACTGAGCACCCTGCAAAGACAAAGAATCAAAGAGTCAGAGGGATTTATTAGACTTAAACTATTAATTCCATAGGATACTTTGTCTGTAATTCTTCATCAGGATAAATATAATCATAGCTCACAGTGTGACATGTGGATTTAGGCTACAGTAAAAAAAACAACAGTGAGATTATTATGAGAGTAAACAAACTAAACGGTTATGTATTTCTGCCACAACTTGAATGGTTATTTACGTACAACAAGCTTCAGAACTGGATGAAAAATTCAAGTATTTTTAATTGATGTAAAACAAGCACTTGAGAGAAGAATACTTGACTTTTATACACTTATTCAACACCTTTACATGCAAACCTCCCACAGCGCATTGCATCATTTCATTTAACTCTAATGCTATCAGCGTCAGAAAATTGTGTGCTAACAATAGTCCCACAGCACAGTTTGTTCATGTGTTACTTTTTAACCACTTTTAACGCATTTTAACAAAAGATTCAACCGCGAAGTTTACCGCGGCACTCTGAAACTTTAGACTTAGAAAGTGCCCAGAAACCGCAACCAAAGGCCTATGTCGTTCATTTCTTTTATTTCAAAGTGTAACATAAAGTTGTAGATGAGTAAAGAGAGCGCAGAGAGACTCACCAATTGATTGAAAATTGATATATCGTTTGAGTAGGGGAGAAACGCTCCATAGCCCTGCGCTGCTGCGGCGAAAGGAGATCCATACATAGTGGAGAGGACGTTGGAGAGTGCGCCGGACGGACTCAGCTCTGTCCCGGATCGGGCATTGCTGGCGATCCCCTGGCGCTCCGGCGGGTATATCGGTCGGATGTACTGATATCCCAGCTGAGGGAAAGACATGGTGGTAGGAAAAGGGAAAAAAGTCTGCTGCAATCACACAAAGCAAGGGAATTGCCTCGATATCCACTTTTACAGTGTGAGCATGTGAGCAACAAAAGGTGCAGGCAAGAGAAGTCTATATTTCCTCGGGAACAGCCAGTGTAAACGATCCGGTTGCGCCCCTTATTTCTTCCTCTTCTTCTCCTTTCCACCCTCACTTCCCTATTGATCTGGATGGACTAAGGTCAGGTCCTTACAGATTGCTTTAGATTATTGGGACTCCCTTGCTCAGATTGACATTTCTAGTCGTTTAGAAGCCCCTCCTATTTCTCAAATCTCACCCCTCTCATATACACCAAACAGCCTCTCTCTCTCTCTCTTTCTCTCTCTCTCTCTCTAACCC